AGAAAGATGTGAAGCCTTCATTCTCCTTCTACTTGAGAATTTCAAGTTCTCTATGGTCAGTTTCGACTTGAATGTTGCACTTGTACCTATCGACGAAAGCATCTGCTATGGATTCCCAGGTAGAGGTCTTTTCTTTTTCAAGAGAAAAGAACCATTGTTGGCAAACGGTCTCGAGAGATAGCGAAAACAAAGAAGGGAAAATTTTCTTATCGATACCCTTGATACTCATTATTGTTTCAAATGCTCTTAGATGGAAGTAGGGGTTGTCGATTGCCCTAAACTTTGGGATGTCGTTGGCACTGAACTTCTGCGGAAGAAGATCCTTATCCACCGAGACCCCTTGGGATGTGAGTTCTTGAAACTTGTAGTCGCTGGACAACTTGCTTAGGCTTTCTTGCATGATGTCCATCTGTTGTTGCTTCGCGGGATCTTCGGTCTTAAGTGCGAGAAGCTTTAGTGTCTCAGTTACAGTAGCCAGTTGGTTCTTGAGATCGTTAACTTCTTCCTGAGTTGCCATTATAACTCTTGCTTTCCTCTTGCGAGTTATAGGTTTGTCAAAAAGTTGGACTTGTACGAAGAGGTTATCTTTGATTAATCATCCTTCCTTTCTTGACCACGCGCTGTAAATTAAGCCAGTTTGCATTTTAATTACTTGACTCGAATCAGTTTGACTTTATGGCTTTTGTTTAAAAAAAAGAAAAAAGTATGCATATTTTTAGGGAGCAATAATGTACATGTGTTTAGGGAACTTAAGTACTATTTATTGGAGGATTAATATCCAACTTACCCCCCTAAAAAAAATGACGAAAAATAACGCGCGCACACAAGACTCCCTTAATCATGGTCAAGACATGTGTAATGGTGTGTGTATTGAGTGTAAGTGACATGCTTGGACTCTTGTGTAAGACCATGGGACTTAGTGCCTAAACTCGAATATTGATTTAATTAAGCAGAATTAACCGAATTAAACAGGAAACTGAATAATTAGACATTAGGTGATGACTCGACAAATAATCCGAACTGTCGGCCAAGCGACAGGACTGGCGTCACAATATGGTGGTTGGCGCCAGACTTTTTAGTAAATGTCTGGCGCTACACACCATACAGTGGCGCTACAGCCCAGATTTTGGCACCAATATTGGAGCCTCGGTCTGGGACTGTTTTCGGTATTATTAGTCAACTGGGGTATGCCTAAAGTCGTACTAGGTCAATTCCGATTATAAGAAGAAAAAACTTTATTGACACAAATTAATTAATTAAGTAATTAATTAGGCAAAGTTCTTTAAGTCATTAATTATAATCTCAACACAAATAAACAAACGGTTAGGAGGAGCATAGAATATATATGCGCAACAAATAATGCACAGTTAGTCAAGTAGGCACAACATGATGCAATGAGTTCGCAACCTAACCATGGCGCTAGTTCTCTAAAGTTCGGGATATGGTTTAGTCAAATAGGGTCCATGGTTAATTGTTCAGATGCACCGCGTAGAAGCCTAACCATGAAGGGTTAACGCGTGTGGATAGAACACCGCAAGTTTTTAGAAAAAACTCACTTCCATGGTTTGGTGAATTCAACATCTCAGATGTACCCTTTGTTGCCAGGAGTGTTCAATCGGGTAGATAGAGCATGAATTCCCAGAGGGTTATGTCCATATGTAGAACACATATGGGTTTCAGAAAAATGAGAAAAAATTCAATCAGGAAGTAGGATCGAGCAAACAATAAGAAAAACCGGTCGAAATTAGAACGCATATTTCTGGCTCGGTATTGGGGGAAATTGGCGCCAGCAAACACAGACTGGCGCCAACTTTTAACTGTAGCGCCTGGCGCCAATACTGGCGTCTGGCGCTACGGCTAAAAACTTGGCGCCAAGCTCTGGCCCCTGACGCTACTTCCCACATGCCTCAGCAGCTTTTTGTGCTCGATAAAATCATCCAGTTTCGCGCGGTGTTATTTCAATCCTAGTTGTGAAAGACATTTCTCAAATTTCCTACGTGTAAAATCCTATGTTTTTGACTCAGTACGGATGGTCTTTCCAATGAGAACCTTTTTATGCATATGACAATAATGTTAACCAAAATTACGCACATGAAATACTTAGAACTTTTCGAGTCTCATCCACTCATTCTAAATCATTGTCGAAGCAAATTCAGGAATTAAAATAGAAATCCTCCCCAGTGGAGTCGCCAAAAACTGTAGGGAATAGTTTCAAGCCTTTAAAAACCCCACTAGCTTGAACCCCACTGTGATCATACACTAAAGTACGGTGGCGTCCAAAAGGGAAGAAGATAGAGCAAAAGAGTCGCCAACAAGTTTTTAAGGAACTTGTAAACCGTTCACGAGGTGAAGGTTACACCCCTTAACGATCCAAGAGATCGTCAACTCCATAAGGTCATGAACCAAAATAGGGTTCGGGGATGAAGGTACAAATCCAACCTAAAAGAGATTGAACCTGCCCTAATAATAGGCCTCTACTTAATTCTGATCGTATTCATGTGCGCTTTCTGACTAACATGCAATCAATAGATTTAACTCTAAACCTGTTTTATCTATGTTGGTTGAATTTAATGCACAAATAAATCTATTATTGGAGATCACTTGAATTTAAATCACAATTAACCTAACAAGATTATTAATTATCTTATTAAGCGTGATTGCAAAAACCAATTCCCTTTAACCTGCAATAAAAGGGGATCAAGCAATAACAATATAAAATATATATCAAGCAACATAATAAATAATCATCATCAATCATAATCATAAATGTTAGAAAGAACATAGAAAGCATCATACTCTTAATCACGCTTAATATTAAAAACACCCTAGACATGATACTAAGAATCATAATAATATAAACATGATGTCTACATCATAAAATCAATTAATCAATAAAGTACTTACTTGGATGCCTCGTACCTCTTTCTAATTACAAAATACACACGTTAGTAACTTCAAGGAAAATAATAAACAAAGCAATTAAATTAAATAATTGAAAAAGAGATTTGAGACCAAACCCTCAGAAATTAAAACCTTTCACGCCTAGGGCGAAGGCAACTTCGAATATGGCTAGGTGTTTCAAGATCTTGTGAATGCGGAATTTTGTGTTAAAGAATAAAGTTTAGAAAGAATGAATGAAAGACTAATGATTCATAAACTAATTTGTTGACGATTGAAGATTGTAGATGATGAATGAAAACGGAATTTATTAAAACTTAAAAATAAAAGAAGTGGTGAATGATAGATGATAATCCGTCCATCAAAACGGAGTTTTTGATACGATATTTATAGAGAAAATCAGCCAAAAAAGATAATTTATCAAAACAGAGTATGAAGATCGCAAAAACAACTTGGCGCCAGCTTGACTCATTGGCGCCAGGACCAGTGGCTAGCGCAAGGCGCCAATGGCTGGCGTCTGGCGCCAATCCTGGTTCCAGGAGCCAAGGCCTGGGGTTGGACGCCAAACCGACTTTTAACACGTTTTCGAAAATCTGATAATTTTACCGTACTGGAAGATAAAATAATATAATTTCAGTCAAAAATGCTATTTGATCTAATTAAAACTCTAAAGAATCCTAATTGAATTAAGAATGATAAGAACCTTCTAGAATGTTCTAGAAGACCAAAACCATTCCTAATTACATTAGGAATGATAAATCATATTAGGCCCTCCCCTAGATCATTGGGTCGTACTTAAAACTCAAATCGGGCCCAGTTTAGTAAATTGGCCATAAATTCCTCAATATTCATCGGAATTGGGCTTATAATATATCGTTGGAAATGTCTTTGCAAGCCCCATCCAACTACACCACTATTGGACCCATATCATGGACCAACCAAACTAGATTGGCTGTTTTTCTTAAAATAAAGTTTTCAAAAACGGAGAGAAGAGAAAAGAAAAGAAATAAAACTTTCCGCAACAATAGACCTTTCCACACTTTCGTTTCATTCGATTATGATTCGGCGTGAAAGGCACTCATCACTGGGTTTGGTTTTGGGGAGACACAAATGGGTGTCTACAGGTCCCAAATCTCTATTTCAATTATTTAATTTAATTGTTTTGATTATTATTTTCCTTGAAGTTACTAACGTGTGTATTTTGTTATTAGAAAGAGGTACGAGGCATCCAAGTAAGTACTTTAATTGTTTTTATTGATATTATGATGTAGAAATCATGCTTAGATTGTTATTTTGATTCATAGTATCATGTCTAGGGTAACTTTAATATCAAGTATGATTAAAAGTACGATGCTTCCTATATTCTTCCTAATATTTATGATTGTTAGTATCATGTTAGAGCTAAAGATTTGATTTTTATTGTTTAGTGACATGCTAGGGTTTGTTATTAATCTTGTTAGTATCATGTCTAGGATCTTGCTGTGCTTTAACATGATTATGATTATGACCAGTAATATTATTATTAATGATGTTGATATTCATTATGTTGCTTGATATGCATATATTTCATTTGTTATTGCTTGATCACCTTTTATGCATGTTTAAAGGGAATTTGGTACTTGTAATCACGCTTGATAAGATAATTAATAATCTTGTTAGGTTAATTGTGATTATAATTTCAAGTGATCGCCAATAATAGTTTATTTGTGCATTAAATTCAACCAACATAGATTAAACAGGTTTAGGGTTAATCCTATTGATTGTATGTTAATCAGAAAGCGCACATGAATACGAGCAGAATAAAGTAGAGGCCTATTATTAGGGCAGGTTCGATCTCTTTTAGGTTGGATTTGTACCTTCATCCCCGAACCCTTATTTGGTTCATGACCTTATGGAGTTGGCGATCTCTTGGATCGTTAAGGGGTGTAACTTTCATCCTATGAACGGTTTATAAGTTCCGTAAAAACTTGTTGGCGACTCTTTTGCTCTATCTTCTTCCCTTTTGGACGCCACCGTACTTTAGTGTATGATCACAGTGGGGTTCGAGCTAGTGGGATTTTTAAAGGCTTGAAATTATTCCCTACAGTAACCATTTTATGACATTAATTGGAGCCATAGACCCTTAATTTCCACATCCAATTAACAATAACTATACAGGACTTTAACATGCAAATTTCTGGAACCATAGTAAAGCAATTTGTGTCTAATGGAGTAAAGGGCAGCCACCCGATGTACAGTAAACATTTAAACTATTTACAGAACGTTAGAAAGTCACGAGTATAACTCACCATAATCATGAGCAAAATTGAGGAACAACTGCAAGTTATGCATACATCTTAGGAATTAGAAATAAGTGGAGGCAATGAATCAGGTTCTAGGTGCCAAGAACATTCAGGTATACCATGGGCTTCAATTCCTGGGACAACAAATGCCTCAATTCGGTGTGAAAAGCTAAGCATCTCTGATCTTGAAACTACTCGGCTTAATGCAAACCCATCACAAAGTTGCTTCTGGAAAAAAGTTTTATATCCCGGAACTTCTTCCAAGCTCGCAGTGCTCAGGCCAGAAGGCTCTGTGAAATCTGAAGTTATTTCAACTATTCGACAATGATAGTCTCTAAAGTCCTGTTGCTTCCATCTTCTATTCCAGTTTTTGTACATCGCCCATATCTCACCTTTCTTGGGATAAATTCTGTAAAACAGATTCTTGGTAGTTCGGTCACAATCCACCAAATGAGAGAAATTACTCAAAGGCATAACAGCAATCCTGGAACCTAGTTTAAATATACCACAACTAACAGGTAAATTCTCTTCAATCCAAGAAATCTCTTCATTATCCATAGGATTGGGATGAGGCTCCAAAAAAGTCACTTCAACTGCTCCCGCCATAAAAACTTTATTCACCAGCGCATACTGCCTAGGCATTTGGTCAGAGCCATCATAGACAGCCCATACTTGACTTGGAGTAAAATCATTGGTTGTCCATTCCATTTTTAGTGAATTACCTACCGAATCCACTGATGAAGGGCATGATGTAGGCCTCTGACTGGTTGAGGAGTTGATGGACGAAGGATCTTGCTGTGGCATATCACCAAATACTCCAATCAATTTCCCACCTTCTAAATCACATGCTGGAAGTTGATGAGAAAAACGATACAAGAACTCTGCAGGGATTTTGAAAGTACGCTCTTGGGCAACTTCAGTCTCTCTTTTGTAAATATTGTTTGATCCATCAACCTTGACTAAGGGCACAGCAAGCATGCCCTCCTCGGAGTAACCTTCAATTATCCTTATTACCTGTAAACTACATGCTTTTTTAGATTCAGGGTTTTCCAACCAATCAAATGGTCGCCAGTCTTTATAAACTGCCCAAACTTCATCTTCTTGTGGGAAAATTTCAAATTCATCATAAGTTGGGCTGACTGTACAAGGAACCACATGGGAGAAAATAGCAGGATCAACTATAGATTCTTCATTTTCATGTAAATTGAATAAACCACATACCACAGGCAACCTGACCTCACACCATTTCCTTTCATCTTCATTTTGTGGTATAGGTCGCAACCAAGTAACATCGAGCCTGAAAGGTGATTCTGAAACGTTATTGATGCGAGCATACCTACGAGGATAATTTTCACTATCATAAGCAGCCCAAATTTGACCGACTTCAAAAGCTTCTGCCTTCTTTGCATCATCAAAGTTAATGAAATTTTCATGATTCATATGATCTGTCGTGGCTCTTAAATTCTGAAGTGACTTCTCATTCGAAAGATCAAAATCCATAGCTGTAGCTACATTGGTATCAGTAATCTGAGTAACCTCTGACTTCAATGTGGAAGAATGAAAATTCAATTCTGTAGAGTTAATTCCCTTGTTCTGTTGATTATCATCGGCATCATCTGAATCATCAACTTCAATAGGTGTTAAACTTCTTTCACCAATACCTACAAGACCTATTGCAGCATCTGCATTCTTAGAAGCAGAACTTTCACAGACAGGTGAGGAATCATGTTCTTGACTCAAACTCCGACCATTCTGATGCCCCATATCACCAAGAGAACTCACAGACGGAACAAATGATTCACTAACATCCATGCTTGTCAGCCTTCTTGAGTTGAAGATCCAAGTTTTAGATGCATTTGAAAGAACAGCATAAGCTTCATGGACTAACTTCAAAGCAGTGACAGACCCAGGAAAGTCATCCTTTATTCCTTCTAATAGGCTAACAAGTTTATTGTACTTCGACTCTATTTGAGAATTACTAGCTTCTGGACTAAGTTCAAGAACCCAATACCAATCAATTTCACCATTCAAAGTCAATTCCGATGTACATAAGATGTCACAAACAGTTATCATCTGAGTAGCTATTTTGAAATCTGGAAACTGATTATGGGCTTCAAGCAGCTTAGATCTTGCACCTGCATAATCCCTGTTAGCAGCCATCCTTTTCGCAACTTCGATTTTTTCCAAACAACTAGACCTTTCTCCTTCCATTTTTAAGAGGCCTAATGCCTACAAAGTTGAATTCAATCTTAGTAAACAACAGATAGTTCAAGGCCTATGATAGAATCTTAAAAGTAAAAACCCTCCAAGCAAATTCTCACACATCACAAAACTACAACTGAACGTACTACAAATGCATCATAACTTCATTACTAAGGCCCTGTTTGGTTTGATGTAAAATGTTTTCATGGAAAATGAATTTTTCATTTTTTTCCATTTTCCTTTGTTTGGTTTGTTAAGGAGTGGAAAACAATTTTTCAAGGGTGGAAAATTTCATCCTTAATGATGGAAAACATTTTCCTTCCAAAAACAAGGGAAGCCACATTTTCCTCTCTCCTCCTTACCTCTTTTTTTACTTCCCTCTCATTCATCCTTACATTTCCACTCTTATTTTTTTATTTTTCTTGGACTTTTCTTGTATGCAACCAAACAAAGGAAAACGAATTTTCAATTGTGTTTTTTCTTGAAAATATGTTTTCCATGAAAACTAATTTTTCATTGAAAATATTTTACATCAAACCAAACGGGGCCTAAGTTGCAGATGATTAAGAAATATCGAAAAAAATGAAAATGAAACTCGTTTTTCAGAGAACCTTATTCCATGTTCTAATAAAAACATGTAAAATCCCAAAGTTTCCTCTCCTGAGCACCTTTACAAATTTGGTGAACCCTCCTTTTGCTACAAAGCCATGCCTTACTAGTATATAAACAACAGGAGATTATAAACACAGCAAGAACAAAGCTGATTAGCTTAAGAGCAACATTCAGCAATAAACTAAAGAAACTACAGAATAGTATACATTTCAATTCCCTTTTTTTTTTTTTTTTGACAACTTGTATTTTAGGAGATAGTTAAACATACTGAACAGATCAATTTGTACTCCTCTGATCGCGTTAAATTAACATTTGTAATCGACTAATTGCGCTGAATCAACATTTCATTAGGAGAACAAATATAGTAATAGTACTTGCCTAGTTTGTTTGTTTGTTTTTTTTTTTTTGGGACAGTGGAGTACTTCTGTACTTGCCTGGTTGCATATTAAAAGATTAATCAACTCTCAACTCTAAATTGTAATTAAATCACACTGCATTAACATAATATGTACTTTATTAAGAAACATTTGGGTTAGTAGTACCAATCATGACATTTTATAGGACGAGGAAAAAAATTGAATAATTTCCTAAGAACATTGGTATATTGGTAGGTTTTATTGCATTGCATTATGCATATATGTAAACTGTAAACATAAATCATCAAAAAAAAAAAAAAATTTGAAACTTTCACAACTGCAATTACCAATGAAGAAAAAACTCTAGAAATTGAGTAAAAAATACAAATAAAGAGAATTTAATTCCAAATTACCAAGAAAAGAGTAATAAATAAGAAAATAAGCATATTAATTTCCTTAATTTCAAGAAAAAATTGCAGCAATGTAAGTTTCACTTTTTCTAATGCAAATGGCATCAATATATAACACTGATCGAAGCGTGATTTTATTAGTTACACATTGAATTGGGGAAGAGAAATAAGAAAAGATACTTACAGAGTTACTCAACAAAATTGAAGCGGAGAGGTAGGACAGAATTGTGGTAGCTGTGTTGGTTGGAAAAGAATGATGCCTTTTTACTGTCTTTGGAACTAATCTATTTTCATTATGTGTGAAAGGTAACCAAAAAAAAAAAAAAAAAAAATCACAGAAAAGGTTAAAAAGGTAACCAAAAAAACCCCACAATTAAAAAGACTTGGGCTTTGAGAATTGGGAGCTTAAATATCAGAAAAAATGGTGAAAAAGGACGTCTGCAAATGGTATGGCTGCTCGACACTTGGTGTGCTCAGACTCCCAATTGTTTATTGTCTGACTTTGCGACTGTCCAGTCTGTGGTCACTCAGACAGTGTGTTTGTGTGTTTACTGATTAGACTTGCCCGTTCTATTAGGTATTGGGAACGGCCGCCCCTACCATGTAGTGGGTTATACTTCATTCTCGTTTCAATTTTCAACGGGGGCATTTTAAAGGCAACAGAATCATTAAATATGTGTCGACTGTCGAGTCCGTTAACATGTGTGAGGTTCTGATCCGATAAGACAATTCATCTTACCTAAAAAAAAATTTATTAATTCTGTCTCGTCTTAGTCATGGACTAACTTTCCTGACTGTATTTTTTTTTTTTTTTGACAAAGAGTACTATTAATGAAAAGCATTATTACAACCTAAACTAAATACAGAAAACAGAAATACACGATAGAACATTTGGGGTCGGACCATACAACTTCTTACGTTTAGGAAACCAAGTACTCAATGGGACAAGAAGCTATTCTTTTAAAGCCACTTAACCTGCAAAACAAAGAGTTAGTAAAACATGCTAGAGACCTACTTTGCATAGTGGCATATTTCCTTCCAAACCTGGGACGGGAAGACGAGACTAAACCCAACAATCTTTCAGAGGAGGAAGGTCTTGGGTGAACGGGAATCTGCAGAGGGGGAGAAACAGGCGAAACTGGTAGGAGTATTAACGCAGCTTCACATGATGACTCGTGACCTGCCATACCTGTGGATGGATCTTCTTGCATCAAATCTGAAGTTGTTTCACACCTATCGTACCCTTCCACAGGGGGGTGACTAAACTCCATTGGTGGAGAAACTTCTTGAGTTTCACAACTATCCATCTTTTTCAAAATATTGGCTACTCGGATGGTAATGAAATTCTTTTGGCGAGAACAGAAGTATTGTACTGTTCGCCCTTTGGATTTCATTCCATACATCGTTGGAGTGAGACACAAATAGGAGTCATTTCGCTTCCGGCTTGAAAACCGAAAACTTGACCCTGTGAGATTTGGGTTTTTTGTTTTTGAAGTGCCCTTCAAAACACAATTGTTATCAATAACGTTGGGCCTAAGATCTTGGTTGGTAGGGTTGACTTTACCCTCCAAATCCAAAGAATTGCCACTAACGTCCTTTTCCATTTTGGTGTTGTCTTTCACACCTGAACACCTACGAACATAACCATCTTCATGACCATCTCTTTCCTTTTGTTTCCCTTTTTTTCCTAACTTCCTACCATTATCTTCCTTCCCACAGCGAACATAATCTCTAAACTTCTCATCTTTCCTTGTTACTGCTAGTGCCTCATCAACAAAATCCGGAGACTAACCAATAAGGATATCACCTCCTTTAGTTTTTGTTGTGACTCACTATTATTGGGATCTAATTTAAGGGCTTGTGCGAGGTCCATGAAAGCTAAGGTTGGTTTATTAAGTCCTAATGCGGCATTCGCCCTTCTGTAGTAAGCTTTCACATTAGTAGTATCAAAGCACAAAACCGCTGAACATAATTGACCCACTCTATCGTAGTCTTTTACCTTGATGAAGCAAGCACCCAAGTTCAGATTAAGGGACACAGCAGTGCCCGAAAACATCAATTTATCCTCTTCACTACAGACTGAAGCAAAGGACAACAATTTAAGAGCAAGAGAGTATTTTGCAATAGCAGATCCCATTTGATTTTGCTTGTAGAACATGTTTTCCTCATTTTTTAAACTCTTAACAAAATTGAGAATCCCAAAAGGATTCTCCAACTGCCCAACTGAAAACTCTAACCCTTGAGAAGAGATATCATTCTCTTCAACATGTTAAATACACAACATACCCCTTAGTTCTTCAAAACTAGCCATAAGACTGAAACAAAGTACCAGTAGAATAAAACACTAAAGGAAGGCAGAAAACTAAACCTCTAGGCTTCCCTTTAATTACACAAAAGTAAACATACCAGAAAGATTAGAAATCCAGCGACCAAAGAAAACCCCAATCTTATTGCTACCAATTGAAGGGCACCGGAGAGCAGTGACGGGTGAGCCACGAGATGGATATAATGACTAACACAAGCAACAAAAAATAACAGCAATAAGTGAAAATATAGGCAGGGCTGAACCACCAAAGGGGAACTCTGCAATTTTCACCAACAGACCAAAAAAACAAAAACTAAAAGGCAGAAAGGGAGATAGAAGAAGTGATTGAGCTCGTCGGCGACGGCTAAGCGAGCCGCGCCAGTCGCTGGCGAGAAGTGGCTGGCCGGGAAAAAGGGGAACGGTGGGGGCGGTGAAGGGATAGGAACGAGGGTTAGAGAGAGAAAGGGATAGGAACGGCAATTACATGTTTCATGACTGTACTTGATAACCCTATGTTAATTAAGAGGGTATTTGGCTCAAGAAGAGGAAGTGTGAAAGTAAAGTAATGGACGAGTGAGAAAATGTGATTACTCATCTTTAAGTGTAACAATTTGATCTTTTGCACTACTTTTGTATAAGTAATAGTATCGACTTAACTTTTCAGTCAGCATATATATATATATATATAAAAAAAAAAAAAAAAAAAACATTGTTACTTGTAGGTTGTAGTACTAGACAATATGCTGTTGAATTAGTCACAAATTAATTAAACTTGAACACAATAAAAGGGGTCATGTTAGGTTATCAATGTTAAAATTATTTTAGTTTCATTCATTTACTTCTTAAATCTCTTTTTCAAAATGCGTGTTAAGAGTCAATGTTGCAATTAAAAAAGGAAAAATTGTGCAGAATTATCTCAAATTTGTCTCATTTGCCGAAAATAATCTCAACTTTTGTGTATTTTTTAATTTGATTTTTTTTAATTCTTTTTTTTACTAATCATGTGCTAGCACATGTTCCGCAAATTGTTATTATAACAAGTTGGATAACCAGTTGGGACCGCTAGAAGCAATTTCTTGTTTAAGTTCGGATTATGAAAAAATTATCAATAGTTGAGATTATTTTCGATGAATGAGGCAAAGTTGAAATTATTCTAGGCAATTTTTCCATTAAAAAATTAACCAAAAAAAGTTATTACTTCGTACTAAGAAAATTATGGTCAAAGCTAGTATCTAACACTTTCATGATTAGGTGCATGGATTATGGTCAAAGCTAGTATCTAACACTTTCATGATTAGGTGCATGGATTGTTTATATATTTTGTTTACTAAACTCGATATATTATCTTTATTTTCTGCATGATGCATGGATTTAGATCAGCTCAATGAGGATCTTAATTATTAAAATCGTGTTTAGAACCTTTATTTTCTGCATTACTATGGACACTAGCATAAAACTTCTTCACAAGTTTACTTCACTTCGAAAATCAATACCATTACCCACTCTTTATTACCAGCTACCAAACATGCCACTAAACCTTTCACAAGAACCATAGATCTAATGCTTGAGGTAACTTGTGAATTCGATGCAGCACACTCAAAGGTTTAGGACTTAAGACACAGTTAACTTATTAAACCTTGGTCCAACTACACCTTTCACAGAGATGTTACTGCTTTGTTACACCTGACAACTTCACTGAACAAGTGAACATCCAGTTCATAAACAAAGAAAAGAATTACCTCTCTCAAATGAATTGCCTAGGAAACCACTCATCAGGATCACAAAAGACAGGAAATTTTCTTCGCATCCTCATAATCATCTTCAACTTTACTCAGATGAAAATACAAAAAGAAGAATGAGATACGGAGTACTCCGTATTTCACAACTGATTAGTAACTGTTCTCATTAGCAGAACATGAAGATAACACACTAGGGACTAACGAAAAATACCAACAGGTACACGTGTAATTTGAGAGAAGTACACTATATGCACAAGGCATAAAGTCAGAATCGAAATTGAACAAGAAAGCTGAAATTATTGTTTGAAGATATCAGCAAAATAGAGTACCAATAACTGCTTCCTGATGATGAGTTGCAGCAGGCTATATTCCACCACCCTCCAATAGAAGTAGAATTACCTGAAATTGGGAGTCAAAAGACTGACTTCAAGTCAGCCAGGGAAAGATACTCGCTGGTGACAGGAAGAGCCAATTCAGTCATCAAGGAGCTAGCATTGCTAAAAAATGTGCGCCTCAATGAGATAGGGAGTGGTGGCAAAGGTTAAATGATTTTTGGAGTATTTATATTTTTTCTCTACTGCCTTTATTTTGACAATTAAATCCTTCATTCCTAATTTTCTTTCAAATTTCAGATGAACTCCTCCGCCTTTTGGGTTCCAAATCATGATCCTTGGAATAGCTAATTTCCATTGGCTTAATCTATAAATATATACTCCATAATAAGCAATAAAGTTATCAACAGGCATCATATTTTCATGAACTCACACCATACAAAAGGAGCCTCTAAACAATCAATTAGAAATATCTATGCTATCATACAATGTGTTTCAAATGAATCTTACATGACATTCTTTAAAAGTATAGATCAGATACACACATATATAGCCATTATAAGACCAGGTAAAGACTAACTTGATATAATCTCAATGAATTGTTTTTTTTTTTTTTTTTTTTTTTTAATACTCTGTATGAAACTATGAACTAATGTCAGCTCACAATTGGCATCAAGGTCCTGAAGCATCCAGATATGACGCCCCATATCAAGGATTAGTCTGACAAGTCACATATACCATTTTTCTTACCTTATCTCTTTACCAGCTGGTGGTTGAGTTTCCTGCTCTGGAACTGCTGCAAGATTCATGATCTTCATCGGCATTTCATGGTTATGCCTTCCCTCATATGTTGTGATGAACGCTCTAGAATCGTCCAATGCTCTTTCTACATACTTCCGTACATTGCATTTGACACTGGTGCAGCGGTAGTAGCTTCTGTATGGAAAGAAAATATATGATAAAATTTAAGCTACTTTAGAATAATATTTAAACCATTCACCATTAATGGATGTTTCTCTACAAAATATGGTGACTTGTTCTTCTAATCATGATGCAGTTATTAATACCTCCATCTGAATTAGTGGTTACATTATTGAGTCAAAAACTTTTTATTACTTTTTTTTATAGTGATATTCATTTTAAAGAAAGTAAGTCATCTCTTTGTCTGAAAATATTACTCAAGTATGCCTAGAAATATATAGTTTTCACATTTCATAAGAAGTAAGGGTTTGTAATTGGTCTTGAGCATAATACCGTTTCTAAGATTGAGTGATGAGGAGAGTATGGAATGATTTACTATAATGGATCTTCTAAGACTCTGTCATGTGCAAATTAATTCTTAATAACAAGGGTTGGACTGAGGATAATGCAACTAGTCTTTTTGGATGGAGGAAGTGTCTTGCTAATTCTTGTTTACAGTCACTGGCTCATTGCGGCAATACAGCCAAATAGCAATCTAATGTATTTTGCGGGGGACAACTTTTATACCTAACTACTGTAGTAAATAATTTAATTAAATGCAAATCCGAACAGTGCCCCTGCCCACCCCCCCTCCCCCCTACCCCTTCCCGCTTATAACCATTGAGTCCAAACACGTCTAATTACATCATAACTGCTAACCTGGGGTATGGACTCCCTTTCACTACCTTCTGTCCATATTTTCTCCAGCGAAAGCCATCGCCCATGATTTCAGGCTCGTTGATGTTATGCACCCAGATGCAAGGCTCTTGTACACCTTCACCTGATTTTCCAGTTTCATTGTTTTGAACATTTTGTTTCCTAATACCAAAAAATAAGACATGTTCATGCTAACACTTTAAGAGATATAACAAAGAAAACATGCATAAATCACACCTTACCTTCTCTTGTTTTTTATTCTACCACCATTGGCGTTTAAACCCTTGGCTGATTCTTCACAACCCCCACCAAGTCCAGCTGAATCCACAACAGTCTTGTCACTAGGATTGTTCTTTTCTGCATCAACAGGATGGCATACTGGGGCATCATTTACAGGAAATGTTGACTGCTTGGACAATTGCATTTCATTTTCATTACTCATCTGTCTCTCAAAACCTTCATTTTTCTCACAAATATTATCATGCAACTTGGGGTCACTACTATTGGGATCTTGATTAGTCCCAGCAAACAATTCCTGTCCATGTACTCCAGATGAACTGCGCTTGGCATGATCTGGCTTCGGATGGTTATGCTCTCCTTTATAGACAATTTCTGTTATCTGCCCATCTAATGACCTCTCAACCTTTTTTTTCACAGGGCATTTCAGATGTGTACACTTATAATAACTTCTTGGATACTCACTACCCTTGACTTGTTTTTGCCCATATTTTCTCCAATTATACCCATCACAAGAGGGTTGATCAGCACCAGTTATGGAAGATGCCATTATTCTGGACTCTCCCTCTACCATTTGTTGTGCCATTGTAGGAGACTTAGCTGATTCAGCTAATTCAACCCGTGGTAGATTACTTGAATGCTGACTTGAGAATAAATGTAGCTTTTCCTTCTGTGCAGGCACGTTAACCTGGGATAATGCTTGTCGATGAGTAACACTGGAATTTCCCTGCTCCATAAGTAAGCAGAGAAACAAGGATAACAACATCTACAACTAAAGGAGTCTACAATGTGTGAAGGTGAAACCTAAAACATAACATTGATGTCAATTGAATGAACTAACGCCAATACTAAGTGTATCATGCCAAATTAACTGTTACTATGTCAGAGTACCTATATTCTCCTAGTATGAATCTCACTAGTTACAATTAATCTCTAAGGCTCTAATCCATAGTCCATGGAAGACTACTCAGAAGGCTATGCAGATAGATCAATCGAGTAAATATAAACTCGAGCATTAAAAATTGTAGCAAGTGATTTCATTTAGTACTTCGTGTAATGTTTGCCAATACACTCATAAATTAGGATGAGATCAGAATCCAACAAGATGAGAAAGCTTGATTTAGAGCCAAGAAGGGAACTGAGCGACAATATAGTCAGCAAGAATATCCCAAGAAAATGACTTCATGACCATTGGAACAATTAAATTGATCAATTTTAAATCCCATTACAACTGTTTTCTCAGATCCCTCCAGGATAAGAAATATATCCCCCACCCACCCTGCCCTTCCTCCTCCCAGCTTCATCCTTTCTAATCCTCCCCCCTTTCTTCTTTCTTCTATAAATCCCTTTAAACAACGTTTAAGGCTCGTGATTAGCATGCATGAAGGCCAGAAAAGGTATAAATGAAAGTTAAAAGGTATGAATGATTTATACTAACCATGCTGAGCAAAATAGAAACAGTTGCCTTGGAGACAACCTTTGCTAGTGGTTTGAAGATGGTGGATCGATCAGGGGCTCTGGATATGGTATCAGATGATGAACAAAGAGCTTCGTTGGAAGTGTCCGCCTGTGATAGCGAGTGCACAAAGGTCAGAACAGATAGTTCGCTGAAATAGAAATTTTCCATAGGGCTGAGATTGAGACTTGCCTGAATTTCTTCGGTATGTGGAGACTGATTGATTGTGGACTTTACCCTCACTGTTTTGGGCTTAATAGCAGCAACTGCCATTTCAGAGCTAGCATTCGCAGGTGGTGGTGATGCATTGATAGCACCAGAATGAAGTTTAGAGAAAGATCTAAAGCCAGTACAAGATGGCCTTGAAGCTACTGGCTTTTTTATGACCACTCGATCTATATCTTTTACCTCCATTCCCAACTATATGTAGTAAAGTGATTACGGAAGTACAGACAGGCTACAAATTAGGACCTCCAGCAGAAAAATAGTTTATGTATGCATCAGAAGCTTCATTTCCTCAAGAGCTCAAGACAAGTCCATCAACGGTAACTTCATTCAATATTTGCTGGTTCTGAATTCAGGGCTCCAAATAAACTCAACAGGCCTGTAGAATAGACTAGATGAGATGTAGAAAAAATAGACACAATAATACTATCATCAACATCAAGTTTACTCCAATGCCTTTGAAAAAGCTCATTTCTGGATTTGAACACCAAGTTAGGGTAAGGGAGTCTCCTATACAGCTGTATTCTACGATACTAGAGAAGTTGTTTCCATCTGCCCTTATATCCACATCAAATGACACTATGCTACATTGCAATCAGAAGCAATGGGGATTTCACAAGCTATTATAATTTACGTAATTATAATCTATAAGTAGAAGAATAGTAAATCCATTATTCTATAGGAATTGGAGTACATGTTCCAGCAAAATTCAAAATCATAAAAGTCACACCAACATACATGTTTAATCTAAGTTCTTTAGAGCACTTCAAAATAAATAAAGAGCAATGAGCTTGCCTATTCTTGTCATCTCAATATCTCATGACATAACAAAGTTATTGTTCTACTACCCATAACAGCATGACTCAACGAATGTTGTGAGCTGAAACCCGAAGTTAGCTGCCAGCTGAAAATGGAGGTCTTAAATATTGCTTATTAGGCTTATCCTACCAGACGTATCAGTACATCAACTACAGTTTATTCTCTGCCTCGGGACTGGCTGAACAGAAATAATCTGAACTGAACTGAACATTTCATGTACTGTTTTATGGAGCATGACTTCAACTGTGAATGAACCTAATCTAAATTAAACCCGATAAGAACAATTTGCATATCAGGTCTACAAATGGTAGAATTACACTCCATTAGCCTTTGAGACTATTGATAGTGAATCTAACTAATGGTCATTCAGAAGAAACTAATTGTGGAACATATTAGGACAATCGAAATCACCTCAATTTTAACAATTCTTTCGGCCAAAACTCAGCTGAGGTTGACTAAAACAAGTACAAAACAACATTCTAACACAAGTACACAACTCTAATCAAGACTGGTACTCTCTCCATTCCTTATTAGGCCCTGTCCAGTTCACCTTAAGAAAATAATACTTGTATTTATTAAGTAAAAATAATTTCAGTTCAGTAAAAATAAGTTCACTTCAGTAAAATTAATTTCAGTTCAGTAAAAATAAGTTCAATTCAGTAAAATTAATTTCAATTCAATAAATATAATTTCAGTTCAGTAAAATCCAATTTTCTTAAAGAAAAATTATAATAGAAAATCAGTAAAAATAATTTCAGTTAAGCAAAAATAATTTCAGTTCAGTAAAATTAATTTAAGTTCAGTAAAACTAATTTAAGTTCAACAAATATAATTTTGTTTCAATAAAAATAATTTTAGCTCATAAAAAATAAGGTGAAGTGAACGGGGACTTATTTGTTAGATTCCGTAGTTTCCAAATATCAAATTTTATGATTGTTAATAATGCATAGTAGATGACATTGATGTTCAAAGTTAAACTGTGCAAATAGGCAAATGAAACAATCAAAGAGAAACAGTAGTAGTATTAAACCTGAAGAAATTCAAAAGATAATTAATTATAAGCTTATAAATTCTAGTCCCAAATACCCTCCTACGTTGATTACATTGCTGCACAAAACCGTATCCTCTGCTAATTCATCAAATAAATTTAAATATGATAAGGGGTAAACAAAATAAACGATACCTTTTGTTGGGAAAAATATTGAATTATCCGTATTCAGGGGCTAAATTGAATTCTGGGGATGTTTGAGCTTGAAAGCTTGAAGAGTTATTAGTAGAATTATGAAAATGGAAATAAATGTGCAGAAAAATGATGATAAAAGAGGGAGAAGATGAAGAGAATGAGGAGTTGATGATGAACTTCATGCTGGGTTTGGTGTTGCAACGTACTCCTCCAACTAATAGTCAACCTTCTACACGAGCTTTGACTCTTATAAACTCACCTACAAGGCCACAAATGTGCCAAAATTATTGCCAACATTTCTCAGACTTGGACTCAACTTAAGGGTAAAATGGGAAATTCACATATTGAATAAAGTAAGGAGAAGTTGAAGGCAGTTGGTCCCCACAATTTGTCAGTCATTCAATAAACAAATACGTAGTAAAAAAAAACCATAAAAGCGTTGAAGCTTTTATTATAAGAATAGGAGGAGAGAGAAAAAACTTATATCACATTTCACGAGGAACAAAGAGAGCAAATTCAAAACCTAGAAAGAGAGGCGGTTTTCAGAAGCATTGTGGAAGCCAAATTCGCATCCTGTAGTAGTAATTTGAAGCGTAACAGTTGCATTGAAGTACCGTGGGTGTCTGCCGGATTTTGGTTGCCGCCGATTTCGGAAGGAAAGTGTCGGAGTATCGCTATTCATGGGATGTAAGTTTCAACCATTATTTATTATTTTTTTCCCATAAATTTGCGTGTTCTTCTATCATTTGTGGGAATGTCGAAGCATTTATCAAATTATTTGATTAAATGTGAATTTATGTGTTTTAGGGTTAATCAGTTAAGTATGTGTGAAATTAAGGGTTTTTACTTTGAATTATGTGTGAATTGAATTTAAGTATGTGAATAGAATTTAAGTATTTGTGGAATTAAGGGTTTTTACTTTGCCAGATGTCCTAATTTGCTTGTCCAAATAATTATTGCACCTCTTCGTTTGAATTATGTGTGTTAGGGTGTGGGAATTGAATGTAAGTATGTGATGATTTTTTATGGGTGATGAAGAATGTAAGTATGTTGCATTCATTGTAAATTATGGGTAACTGTTACAGAAATTTATTTGGTGGGTGTTTTCGATTTGAATGAGAAATGGATTTACTAAGTTGATGTCCTAATGTGGTATGATGATGCCTGTTATGAGCTTTGATTTGAATGATAAATTAATATTAGTTGTTGTTGTGTTAATTCTTGTTGTTAATCTTTGCTTTAAATTGGGTAAATTTTATTTTATTTAATTAATTGATGTGATTTTAAATGCAATTTGAAGAGGTGTTATGTGTATGATTGTGTTGAGTTTCTAAGAATTAGGTGATCTGATAATGTTGCATGGTTTTGATACCATAATATTCCAGTTGGTGATCCCATGATTTTGCATATGGTGATACCATATTCTTGGTTGTTGGTACTCTCTTCTCTGGTTTGGTGGTATTGGTTGGTACCATTGATTTGGTTGTTGGTATTTGATTAGTGTATGTAGTGGTATATAGGAACTTGTTTGGGTAGTGGTATTTGATTAGTGTCTGTAGTGGTATATAGGAACTTGTTTGGGTAGTGGTGTAGGTGCTTGTCCAAATAATTATTAATATGGTTTCCTTTTTTTGCGTGTGTTGTTTTAATGTTTTAGTCATGACTGGAGCAGTACAATGATTCTTCAATAGGCTGCAGAAGTAAATGGGGGGTATGTGACAAAATAATTTTAAAAAAGACACCTAGTATAGTGTTTGAGCGCAGTTTTCTGGTTATGATTTGGTATATGTATACATTAATTAATTAATTTTTGTTACCCTTCGCAGTGTACCCTTAAACATATAATGAGGACTAGAAATGGTCCAACTGGTTGATCTAGCAAACAACAGGCCAACAAAAAAATGAAACAAGCAGTTGTTGAGGATGTTAAGGATGGAGATGATCGAAGATAATAACTATGATGGGATGATCAGTGGAGCAGACGATTCTAACGATGTTGACTGTGTGGTGGAAGAAGAAGAATACTATGGTGAAGGTGATATTAATCATGGTGATTACGAGGTGGAGTCAAAGTACCTTGTGACTCAACACACTGACAAGAAGCGTAAAATTGTTCCCCCACCACCAAAACATATCAGACCCCCACAACCCCCACAGCCGAAGGTTGTCAGAAGAGCACAACGTCCACTAGTAATTGAACAGGACTTTAATGAGGTATAGAAACACTGTAATTTGAAGCAAGTAGTTTTTTATGTTTCATTGTTCTTTGGTTGATGATTTGTAATGTTGGATAGATGATTTTGAGTTATATTTGTTGTGTTTAATGTAGTTTGTTGTTGGAAAACTGACTACAACTTTGGGTGAGCAAGTTAAAAAAAGAGGTGTGATAGTTGCGACACAGTTGAGGAATTGGAGGTGGAAGGTAAAGTTTGTCGATAAAAGCTTTTTTGTGGACTGTATTTTCTGCATGTTTATTTGTTGACTTTGAAGGTTTGTTTTGTTATTTTATTTCAGCCAGCAAACTTCAATTGTTGGATTGATGTATTTATCGATGTTGTGAAGGCGATGGGCATAGGTGAGAACAAAAAAACAGTTGTTGGAGGAAAGTGGGTGTGGAAGGTTGTTGAAGCTGCCTTTAACAAAGATTGATTGTAGGTTTTGTTACTTGCTTATGGAAAGGATCAATCCAGAGAACAAGGTGTTAACTGGAGTAGATGGAAGGGAGATACCTTTATGCCCTAAACAATGGAGGTGCATATTTGGCCTTCCTCGGGGTCCAGACCCTGTGCCTATTAAAGTTCTTAATGTAGCCATGCAAGCAAAGGTCGATCGTATTGTTCATCGGTATGGGGAGATTACAAAAGACAATGTTTGTCATATCAAGATTCAGCAAGCAATTGATGAGCTTCCTTTGATGCCGATTGTAACTGACAATGACAAGGATGAGTTTATGAAGGCCTTCTTACTAATGATGTTGGGACTGCTGATATGTCCCACTACGAATGGTCAGAGCTTGGCAACTGCGTTATTTCCTGTTATTTCGATAGGGGCTGCTACACCGGATTTTGATTGGTGTTCATGTGCACACAGTTGGCTGCTGACTTGTGTAAGAGATTTTAGGAAGAGGCTTCACAACAATGGGTACTCGGCTGGTGGTGGTGTATGTGTCATATTCCTTCAGGTCTTGTTTTCCTCTATATGTTAATTACAATTATTATGAAAGAAAAATATTTCTTGAAATGTGAGATTGGTTTGATGGCATCCTTGGTATCATTTTTGGTTTGTTGATTTTAATATGATTGAAATAAAGGTTGTAGTCCTTATTAGTTTTGCTTATGAAATTGTGTAGTTGCATATCATATTAGATGTTTAGAGCAGGTAGACTGTGCATCAACAGTAATTGTGTTATGAAAACTCCCAATTGTGGTTGTGACGCACTTGGTTTTAATTGAAAGATATATGAGAATCTTCTGTAGTGGAGATGTACTTTAGGTCTTCTTACTTAACCTTTTTTTTTATCTTTTTTTTTGTTTTCTTTATGCATTTGTTGTGCAGATATTTTACTTGGACCACCTTGCAGTGCCTCCTTTGAGTTGGGGGTTATGCCAAGATCGGTGGTGTGGACTAAGAAGAAACTGTCAGTTGCTATTCAAGCTGATTTGCTCCCATCCCTAGACTATGGGAAACAGAAGGTGAATGTGTTATTATGTTATATACAATAATTTGGACCCTTTTTATTCTAAGGTGATAAAATCTCTTAAATCAATGTTCATGTAGACAGTTGATGTTCCAATCGTTAGAAGTCAGGATTGCAAATGAGGTAAAGTGTAATGGTTTTTGTCGTGTTTTGTGTTCATGAAATAAAAAACTAATTCTGTTTTTTCTTTTTCTTTTTGTCCGGTAGGTAATGGAAATGATCATTCCTATGTTTGAAAATATAGAGAAGAAGATGCTAAAAGCCCGCAACCAAAGCAAACCTACATCGATGAAGCCTATGTTTGAGAACATGGAGAAGAAGATGGAGAAGATGCTGAAAGCCCAAAACCACAGCATACCTACTTTGAGGAATGCGCCGAAGGAAAGGTCCCCTGTTCACAAGTCCCCTGTTGCGAGTAAGGATGATGTGAGTACCGGTAGCTCTTCAATCAAGGAGCGGGAGTTGGAATCACATAATGTGAATAGGAAATCCCTGTCTGATATTTTCAAGAAGTTAGATGATGTTATCAATGTAGGGGGTACAATGATGAGGGTTGTAAATGTGATTAAGGGAGTAACATCAAAGGTGTGTTCTCATTTTGGTGGCGTTCATGGGGACATGAAGGTGGAAGGTGTGGTTGAATAAGGTGCTGGAGGATCGGAGGGGTTGGAGAGGTTGCTGCTGAAGGAGGGGTTGATGAGGGCAATGGTGAAAGCGGGGAAGAACGGCTTAGGAAAGGAGTGTCTAATGATGGTGATGGTGAAGGGTTGCAGCCTCCTGAGACAACACATGAACCTGTGACAACCCATGTATTAGAGGAAGGTGAAGATGGAGAAAAGAACCGCAACCGGAGTGAAAGTAAGCGGACTCTAAAGCCATCTTCTAAGGTGCTTTTTGGAGACTTTGTTGGAAATTGTAGGGGTCGGGTGTCTAAGCTTAAGACAGCTGATTTGAATCTTGTAAAGTGGATTAAGCTGGGACTTTGGGACTGGCAGTTGAGTCCAATCTGTAACTTATACTTTCGATGATTACATCAATTTTAAGTTTGTATTATATGTTTCGATAGGTGATTAGCTTGTGGACTTTACACAATAAATGTTCAATCATTTCTATTTAATTAAAGATTTCATTAAAGAAGTCATTCATACAATATTCAATCTCCTACTATGTTTAATCCAAACTTGTTACACTTAAACACATTTTGTTATACCATCAAATCACCAGATATTATACCATGCTGTTAAAGTATAGACTTAGATGGAATTCTTCAGTATACCATCCTTGCAAAATTTAGACTTAGATGATATTGATCACTATACCATCCTAGTACAATCTACTCTAAGATGGTACTTAGTATTATACCATCCTGATACAATCTAGATAAAGATGGTATAAGTTGGTTTATAATGAGTAATAGAAGTGTTTTCTATGATTTCAATGGTTCTGTGTTGTTGGAATGTGAAGGGGAATCTGCAAATTAGGAATGTTGCTATAATTTTCTGCATTGTCGCCGAAGGGTTGGTA